GCCTCAGAAAGAACAGAACAGTGAATGTTAGAAATCATACTTGAAACAAGCGAGAGTTTGATCTCTTTCTTTACCAGTCGTGAAATCAGAACCTTGGCCCTGCTTCTCAGGGACCTGCCTCCGTATCGTTTTAAGTGTAATCTTTAGTTTCAGGCCCAAAGAAAGGTAAAAGCCTTACTTTTGGTGGTTACTATACTTGCTGAAACAGAAAACTGAGAAGTATTAGAACTTCTGAGAAGATGGACGTAGACAGCTCTGGGCGCTGGTTCCAGAAGAGCTGCTGGAATCCTTTCTGAGCTTTCTTCTCCTCCAAGTGACGTCTGTTGTTTCTTTCAAAACCTGAACACAAAACCTCCACTAGAAAGCTTTCCTTAGCAGACCCCCCATCTCTCCTGCCTCTTGCCTGCATCTTCCTAATTTTGACATCACCTGGTTTTATACCAGTGGTTTTATACTAATGGTTTCATACGTGCTGTGTGGTGTTAGTGACATTCAGTGTACACGTGGTGCCCTCAACACAGGTAGACAGAGACTGTTTCTTCCTCCCCCTTTCCTCCCTCTGGTGCTCACTTCGTCATGTTACGCCACGTAAAATGCCGTCGTCAGCTGCTCTTTCTCTGTCCTCACAGAAATCGTGACGGTCTGGAAGCACACACAGAGCCCCTTTCTCTTAACTGTTTCTGTCCTTCAGTGCACTCGAGATTGAAGCCCTGTAACTTGACATTTAATAGCCTCTTAAAACTTTATGTTAATTGGCTTCCCAGCAGTCCGCTTTTTTGGAACATCATGGAAAGTGCTGAATTCTTATTTATTTAGTGAGAATTTTATTGCAACAGGAAGACAACCCATTTTACCTTGACTTTTTCAAGTAGTAGCAGTAGCATGAAGGAGTGAATACCTTATAGCAAACACTATACTAATGGAAACATTGCTGCTATTTTTGTTACTTACACATTTTTCAGATTGTTCTAGAATTTTTGCTTTTTTTAAACCTCCAAGTTTGTTATACTTTCCATAATTTATGTAAACATATCCTTTATTTCTATTTCTGTAAACTTCAAAACTGAAGCGTGGTCCTGTCTTTAGGACCTTTGTGGTGAGACCATCTATTCCACCTCACGTTAGAACTTTTGCAGAACTTAACTTCTGTAGTTAAGCGGGCCCAGCTTTCTTGTGGCATTGGGGGACTCATGCTGCTTTCTGAATTAGTAATTAACTGTCGTGACTTGTGCACATGTGCAGGTATCTGAAGCTGTTTTAAGGCAACTCACATTCTGTAGTCTGTGGCTTGGAAGAGACTTTTCATGCTTTGTTAATAACTAAACCAAGATAAATAGGTGTTCCTGGGCGGCGAGCAGCTGAACCTTTTTGACAGTTTTGACTCCTTCCTGGACCGAGTTTGCATGTTCTTATTGTGGATCACGCCGACTGGCTCTCAGCTGCGTCCTGTTCCCGTGGCCGGGAGGGATGCTGGTGTCCCTCGAGCATGTGTGGATGGCTTGTCCTTTGCATGGTGTGGGCCGAAGCCCAGCTCTCGTCTCGTGGTCACTAGGACAGAGGATGGTGCTTCGCAGTGTTTTTCTTTCCTTGCACTCATCTCGCAGTGTGGCCTTTGTGCTCGTTGTGCTCATCCTCCCGCTCATCACTCCACGGGCGTTTCAGCGAGTGCCTGCGACGCGCCGGGCACCCTGATCCTCCCCGCTCGTCACTCCACGGACATTTCAGCGAGTGCCTGCGACGTGCCAGGCACCCTTGCAGGGAAGTTCGTTACTGTTGCTGTTGTTACTCCGTCTTCGACAGAATATAATCTTGACTTAGGTTTTATATTTTTATCTGTCCTGCCTTCACCGCAGGGGGTCCCCAAATTGTGGTTGGGAGCCATTTTGTTCCTCTGTAGCGGATTCACAGATGGGAAATGACAGCTCCACACGCCCATCCCCACAAATGTGGGCAGGGCCAGCGTGGCCAAGAGCTGCCTTCTCATCCTGGGTATTCTCAGATGGAGAGAGCGCCTTTGCCGTCCTCCTGTGGGTAGATTCTCGTGCCCACCTGACAAGGTGCTCCTGCCTCATGGGACCAACCTGATTTGGTCCTTTTATGCATCCGGTGCCGCAGAGGGGAACACGGCGACACACGGAGACAGCCACTGGAAGCACAGCACGGTCCGGTCCCACGGCTGGTACTTAGAGTGAATGCTGTCAGCCAGCAAAGAGCAATTCAGCAGACCCTCTGTCCATTCTCTTCCTGTCCTCCTTTTTGTCTTTCTTTCCTCTCGGTATGTAGACCAGGCTGATTTCAGATTCTGCTAGAAGAGAGTGGCTGTCAGTCAGCATCTGTGACAGGCGGGCATTTCCGTCGCGTCTTAAGCTTCCTTGCCAGATGGAAGTCGCTGACACTGAAGATGGCACTAGAAGGGAAGGTGGGAACTTGAGACTCCTTCTGGTCTGTCTGGAGGTCCTGGTCTCCGGGGAGGGTGGAGGAAGAGTGTGGGAGGAATGGATTTCACAAGCTTCTGGACTGAGCGACTGCCAACTCTCACTTAAGAGTAAAAGGAAAGAAGTGAATGAGTCATTTCAACGGTGGCTGCAGGAGGTATGAGCACCTATACCGACAAGCTTGTCTGACCTCCATGAGGGAAAGGACTGAAATTACTTTTAACAACAATATTTCCTTTTCTGTTTGCTTTCCCTTTAAGTCCCAGCTCTAATACTCTCTGGGTTTGAAGATACTTTAGAGTTTCAGACAACTGCTCAGTGTTCCCGGCAGAGCACAGCCCACGGGCCCGGGAGAAATGAGGACAGAGACAGGAGGAGGCAACTGGGGATGACAGAATGAAGGCAAAGGAGGGAGAAGCTGCTGCTTCACTTTCCTCTTCAACCAGCAGATCCTCAGTTAACCCTTGGCGTGGCTGAGGCCCATTCGGTCTTAAGGGAGATGTTCCCATGTGGATAAACAGCAGTAAAACTCCTCTCCTTCAAGACCCAGAAGGGCCTTTACTGGAAGGTGTAAAGATCGATGCAAAGCGGGAAGCAAAATATACAAAAACTGTGAGGGGAAAAATGTTTTTGATTCACACTGTACAGAAACTGTGAGGGGAAAGTGTTTTCCTGACCCCTTGTCTCTGTGGAGGGGGCCGCAGATCCTCTCACTTACGACCGTCATCGCTGTGGAAGAGGCCACAGATCCTCTCACTTAGGTCCTAGTTGCGGTGAACAGACCCTGCTCTGACCCAGTTTCAGCAGGAAGCTGAGCTCTTACTAAGAGAGAGTCAAAGCTCATGGTTCCCTCGGAATGGAAGGAGAACAGGTTTTAGACTGAAGTTCAGGAGCGATTCCCAGAAAACTGGCCCCAAGCTCAGCGCCCACCTTGCCGCGAGCCGGCCCGCCTGTGCCCGCCTGTGCCCACCTGCGCCAGCGAAGCGCACGTGCTTTGTCCCCGCCCTGCGCCTGCGAAGCCCATGTGTGCTTCCCAGATCCCACTCGGCAGCTCTCCTTCCAAGCCCACTGCTCATGGCATTTCCCATAGGCCACCTCTGAGCTGAGCCCACCTGCGCTCACTCGCACCCACCTGTGCCCACCTGTGCCCGCCTGTGCCCACCTGCGCCAGCGAAGCGCACGTGCTTTGTCCCCGCCCTGCGCCTGCGAAGCCCATGTGTGCTTCCCAGATCCCACTCGGCAGCTCTCCATCTGACTCTGACGGTGGACCCTTGGGTCCGTGAAGCCAGGTGGGGAGTCCCTCATCGCAAAGGCGGTTGGGACACGAGCGTGTCTGGTGCCCGTGTTGGAAAAGGAGGACTCACAATGCCAGGAGTTATTAAATGTGTAGGGGTGTGGAAGGATGGGGGCAGCTACACATTGAGTTGTTCCTATTAGCAAATACAGCACAGAAATTCCTGACAATAGGAGTTAATGGTAAAAGTTTAATTAAAAAATGCAAAAATTATTTGTGAATAATTATTGAAGATGTGCGGCGTTGTAACTGCATCTTCCGAGGAACCTGAGCTTGTTTGCTGTGTCACTCTTCTCCCTCCCTGTGCTTTTATTCTTCAGGGTTGGTTACTTTTCCAGTTTCTGATGTGCTCCCCTCACCCCTAGTATTGTCTTTGACATGGTGGCAAGATTCTGTGAGATTAGGCAATTAAGAGAGGAATAATTTAAAAATAATTCATCTAATTCTTCATCAGGCTATAATCTCTTACAAAGAGAATATCAGATTTTTATGTTTTGTGTTCCTACTTGGCAGAGCATTTGAAACATTCTTTCAGTCCCTCCGAAAGAGAAACAGCCAGTTTTTTTTAAAAAATAAATCTCAAATTTAGCATGCCTGTTATAGCATGGATTTACATAAACCTTTTTTCTGAGTGTTATAGAGGAATATATGAAGTTTATTTTTTTCAAATTTGGTCATTCTTTAAAAAAGAAAAAAGTATGTTTGTTTGATATATAAACCTTTATTGTCCTGAAAAGCAAGCAGAATGAAACAAATTATCCCTAGGGTAAAGCTCATGTTGGTGCATCCGTGAAATTGTAGCTGTCATGATACTAAAATTGATGTAGAAAGCTGTAATGTGACATTATAGTTTTCACTTACTATGTTAAGGCTTTTACGAATAGTGCTTCCTTTTTGAACATTCAGATTCCTAAATGAAACATATAAAAAATTTGGAATATACAAACTAGCATCTGAGATGCTGGTTTTGAAAGTAGTGGAAACTTACTGAAAAGTACTCCAGTATTTCACTTGTTTGACGTGACCTTTGAGTTTTGCCTGAACCTACAAGCTGTTTGCAGACCAAAGCAGGATTATTTGTATGCATGGTCACGGAAAATAACCAGGAACTTTAATTAGTTTTTCTGCAGTTCCTTGGCAACAAAAGACGAGTGAAAAACTTCTCCTTTTTATTTTTTATTTTTTGACTTGAGTAAATAGTTCCTTAAATACTTTTCTCCACTGAGTTTCATGTTTTTATTTTTATGTTTTTACTTTTTATTATTCTGCAGGGAGTTAAATACCTGTGCATCCCAGCAGCGGATTCACCATCTCAAAACCTGTAAGTTTCTTTTTTCTGTCTTATTTGGAGACATTTAAAAAAATGAATAGAGGACGGTAAAGTCAAAGAAGTAGAAGACTGTGAGGTCGTCAGAGCCCGTGGGACCCTGGTGGACCCTGCAGGCCTGGTGCCCCAGGGAAGAGGCTGTGAGCCTGCGAAGTCGATGCTGGGCACGCTGGGATGAGCTGGGGCAGGAGGCTCCTTGCGGCTGATGGTCCTTCCGTGATGCAGAGAGACCCACGGCATGTCCACAAGAAGGGTCTGATGTTTAAAAAGGGCACCTTAAACCTGTGGTGTGCTCATCCTTCCTCTGGAAATAAAACCGTAAGGGGTTTGTTGGGTTTTGTCTAAAGCAGCACCGTCCAATAGAAGTAGATAGTAAAAGCCACAAATGGGCAGTTTTAAATTTTCTAGGAGCCACATTTTAAACAGCAAACAGGCAACATTAATTCTAATAATATATTTTACTTAATCCAGTATATCTAAAGTACTATTTTGATACGTACTCAATATAAAAAGTTAATGAGCAAGTTTATGTCCTTCTTTCATACAAAGTCTGGGGACTCTGAGTGGTGTTTCATACTTCGCACGTCTCAGGTCAGACCAGCTGCATTTCCAGGGCTTGAGAACCCCAGGAGGCCGGCAGCTGCCTTATGGGACAGCTGCTGCTGAAGCCTGGCTGAGTTGGACGAATACGTCGTTCTGGCTTAGGAAAGTCCGGTCCTCTATTTCTTCATAGCCGAATAAACCTTTGATGTCGTTTTAACTCTGTTTGCACCTAGAGAGAGATTCGTAATGGCCCCCTTTTCCGTACTGAAGAAATCCTGTGGAGACGGGTAGGATTAGGTTTTGGCAAGATAGGGGGCAGGGCCCTGGAGACCCACGGCAGCTACAGCTTTAGCAGTCACTCGTGGCTGTGTAGAAGGAACCCGGAAATACCATGGTGTGGAGTAGATGACAGTTTTCCTGAAGCACAAATGTGACTTTTGCAGGCTGAGAGGCTGGGGCTGGAAGTGAAGTACTTAGCCCGTGCCGCTGAGTCCGGCCTCTGGTTCTCAGGTTGGCCCGGTGCTGTATGACACAGGTCAAAGACACAGCAACCCTCCTGGAACTACGTGTTACTGCATTTCACAGGGAAGTTGTAGGCTGTGGTGAATTTGTGAACTTGAGAGTCCCCAGGCTTGTCTGGATTCACCTTTTCTGCCCCAAGCACTGGTGCATGCATACCCTACGAATCAGGAGTGCAGGCCGTGTGCCCCGATGTTCAGGACCCCAGGTGTCCCACCACTCTGGGAATTACTAAACGCTGGCCATCAGCCGACCTTGAGTCCTCACTGGGGCAGAGCAGAGAAATCACAGTTTATGCAATAATTTTGTGAGATCTACCTTTTTGGGAAAAAAATAGAGCTGGAGTAAGATGGGTTGACATGGGAAAAGTAAGGTGGTGGATGAGGAGGGGAATGGGAGGTGGGAAGCTGCAGCCACTGTGTGCTACCCAGGGGCTGTGTTTCCACATGCACTCTTGATGCTTCACAGAAAGGTGAACCTTTAAGATTGAGGATGGTGGAGGAGGGGTTTTCCTAGGAAAACAGAGTGGCGCTCTCGGCCTGGAAGGAGGAGAAGCAGCATTAGAGAACTTCCTTGGTTCCTGGTCGTGTCAAGAAACAGAAGTGGTTGGAAGGCATGGTGCACACGGAAGGAAGTGAGCCGCTGCCTTTCTCTGAAGACCATAGCAATCTTCTGCCCGTGTTTTGGTGGCTATTTTTAGAATGGTTGCTTTGCTCTTATCTCAAACCGAGATTCTGACATGCTGTTGAACTTGTCAGTACCTGATTGGCAATTTGATTCTGTAGAAGAAAAACTCAGATGTGACCCTGGACACCTGTTGTCAGTGCAGGTGGCTACGTGTCCTTGAGCTGTCCCTAGTGCTTCCTAGCTTTGCTTGGAGCTGAGTGCCGTCTTTGTCTGTGACAGTGACCTGATCTAAGCGTGGAGTGGCCCCTCGCGCTATAGACACGTAAGCAGTCGACATAGATGTTAAAAAGTCTCAACTGTAAAGCCAGTTACCCCTACCTTGGGCATTGTAACCATCTACACCTCTGTTCTCTCATCTGAAAATGCCTGCCCTCAGGATTCTGGGAGGCAAGGTCATGTATGTGAAGGTGTTCTCTGTGAACTCTGGGCACTTGTACAAATGAGTCTGTTTTTACTCAGCATGTATTAACTTATCTTGAGAGTTACAGAAAAGGTAGTTGCGATAACAAGTTTTGGTGCCCAGGAAGCCTGCTTCCGTTACTGGAGAGACGTGCCGACGTGGAAGGACGGGGGAGACAGAGATACGCCAGCTTCTTTTCTGAGTTCCAGGTCTCGTGGGTCAGTTCAGATCATCTGTCAAAACCAGCCTAGTTGCAGTCACCTTTGGTGCCAAAGGACTAGCCCGTACTTTTTCTTTTTAAAATACACATAGATTTAGGGGGTGCAGGTGCAGTTTTGTTCCATGAATATATTGCTTAATGGCGAAGTCTGGACTTTTAGTGCATCCGTCACCTGAATAGTGAACGTTTTACTCTGTAAGCAATTTTTCATCCCCCACCTCCCTCCTACCCTTTTAATTAGTTCTCTCCCATCCCAAATATGTAAAGAGGTTCTGTTAAGTTTATGGTTTGCCTTTGTAACTCGTTCTTTGTATCTGGATGACAAAGAAAGAGTTACAAAGGCAAACTATAAATGTAGGTGGGCTTAGGGGTTAGGTAGGTGTGGCAGTGCCATGTGTGGGGCCTGCGTGTGGAGGATGTGCCCTGCTGCACTTCCCAGTGAAGCTACAACAGTACGACTTCTGTGTCAGCTGGAGGAGGAAGTCGGGACCGTAGCTCGTGAACAGGCGGAGAGAGGTGGACACTCTGCTGTTGGGAGTCGTGCTCTTGTGTGATGTTTTGGGGAAACGTTTATTTTTAATCCATTAGTAACAGCAAAGCTTATGAATAAGTCAGGCTTCGGCACACATGTGTCCCTGACTCTAAATATTGCTTGCTGTACTAGTGATGTGGAAATGGTGGAGTTGACTTTGGAAATTGGCGTGACTCAGCTTGTGAAGACGCAGGCGATGAAGCAGCTTGCGTTTCTTTTTACCGTGTACGGTTTCTGCGGGAAGCCATGGTGAACTTTCTAATGGGGAGCGCATTTTCACAGTGTGATCAAGTGATTCACCTCAGGTTGGCAGGCAGATCACCTACCTCTCTCAGGGCATTTATTAGGGTGTTTATTACTCACCAAGTATCCGGTGCTGACGATCCACTTTTGCTTTCTGTATCGTCAACCAATGAGGATGGTCAGACGACAAATGTTCGTTATTCTCTAGTTGACAAAAGCGAAAGAAGTCTCACCTGCCACTTGGAAAATGTGTTCTGCGGGACCTAAATGATTTGAAATCGTAGCTCTTTAGCCACTTAAAAAATTATTGATGCCTCGGAGTTTCTCTGTGCAATGATAAAATAGATTCTGGAAACCTATGTTGCTCATTGTTTTTAACTTAAGTACAGATGTTGAAAAGGAATGGCAGTTTTGATGTAACTTAACACTTTATGTCTTACATTTTCCCCACAAATGCCTGCACTAACAGGAATTCTGGCTAGTTATGCTTAGGAAGAGATTTGTGACCTTTGAGACTAGCTGTTGTCACTTGACATTCAGCTGCTGCAAACTGCCTAGAAAGGTCAGTTTTCTGTCTTGGCCTTAATCCTCTCAAATCTCCCTCTCTGGTCTTCCAGGAACTTAAAATGCAGAAACCTGGTTTGAGATAACGTTAACGTGTTAGAACTTCAGCTCACAGTTCCCCAACCAGCGAGCCTTGCCAAGTCAGGAAATGTAAAAGTTCAAGTTCTCAGAGTTGTGATAACCCCACAGACCTATTGTGGTGTGTTTTGCATGATTTTGTCGTAATTAGGGGCATCCTAGAGTTTCTATCAAATGCACACACTGCATGTTCCCCGAGTGGCCAGCGTGGTGTGGGTTAGGGAATTAAGGGCTTTGGAAATACTTACTTGCTTTTGCTTTCTCTCTGGGATTTCTTAGGCAAGTCATTTTAACCTTTCTTCTCTTATCTGAAACGCCTGTCTCACGGGGCTTTTATAGTGTTAGGTGGGATGATATCGGTGAAATTGTTTTTTATGAACACTAAGCATTTCTGAAAATATGATTATGTTTTCTGTCTGTTCAAGTACAGAGTATTAATGTATTTTGAAAGTGAATGGTTAGATGCATATTAACTTATTCACTCATCCTGTTTTAATATATTACATTGGCATTTTGTAGTTTGACATCATGAAGCAAGTAATCATAGATTTTCTGTGAGGTCCAAGGGCGTTTGATCTCTGCCAGGCTGTGGAGTCGGTGGGCCTGCATCATTGCAGTAACGCCTTCGTGACATTCAGTGGTTTTAGAATCTAGCAGGTCTGTAAATTTCTTGAGGTTTTTGTGGGGAGAAGCAGCATTAGCAATACAGAGAGCCTGTATTGAAAACATCGGTAAAACGTCTGTGCCTTATTCTCTCTCCCTATCTTTTTGTCTGTATTTTCTTTAACTGACACCTTCTGTACTTTCAACTCTCTTTTTCTCTCATTTATGTTTTTCTTTATTTTATTATAAAGGAGCACTTTTGCAAGATTAGAGCTAGATGGGCCCTTGGACTGCTGTGGTCCTGCTTCCGGACCGTTCCTGAGGGCTCTGCCAGCCCGTGGCGATGTTCTCCTGCTCAAGGAGAAAGAAATGAGAGCTGAAAGTGGCATTCAGTTTTAAAGACTTCATTTATTCAACTTAAAGAACTATCGATCAGTCTTAGACTGTGTCGTTCTTTTTTGATGTTGAAATATTCTTCTGGGGGATGATGCAGTAAATAGTAGACAGGTCTTTCCTTGTTTTAGTTTGCTTTTAAGAAGACCTTGTCTGGCAAAACGAAAAGTACAATATATGTGTCCCCCAATTTTATTTTCAATGTTGACAGT